AGGGGCTGGGGGTGAAGTCGGTGTGGACGCGGGCCCGGCCGCAGAAGGGGCCAGTGTAGGCTGGGACGGCCTCCTCCAGCTGCCGGCTGTCCCCGGCATCGCCAGGGCTGGCAATGTCACTGCCTGCAGACAGGAGGGGGTCAGGGGTGCCCGGCTGGGGACGTGGGGCCACTGTCCCGTGGGGGCCGGCCTCACCGCTGGACATCTGGCGTCCGAGGGCTGGGCGCCCGTCCTCCTCCTCGTCCTGCTCCAGGTACGACAGGGGCACCTTGTCCTGGCTCTGCTCCTCCACGCTGCTGGCTGGGGACAGCGGGCACGGGGACCCCTCCTCCTCCACCTCTCCCTGCTGGGGGTAGCAGGCTCAGGCCGAGGGAGGGGGAGCTGTCCCCGCTCACCCGTCCGTGTCCCCAGCCCCGCTCACCTTCCCCTCGGCCAGCGCTCTCACAGCCGCCCTGCCCATCTTGCGGTTCATGGTGCGAGAGATGACCGCCCGCCACTTCCTACCCAGCTTCGTCCTGCTGCTCCGCACGGCCTCCTCCGGACCGCCGCTGCTGGGATCATCCTCAGGGATCTGCCGGAGGATGGAGAGTGAAGGCAGAGCCCCCCCGCCCTGGGCAAGCCTCGGCAGGGTCATACAGGGCTGGGAGATCCCAAATCCCACCAGCGCTGGCACCCTGGGGCTGCTCTGTGACACATGGGCCCCTGGTGAGAGCAGGAGTTTTGGGAAACCGGCCCTGAAATGGGCTGTTCCCGGGGGAGCAGGATGTGTCAGGGGGTGCTGCTGCCCGGGGGTGCTGGGAACTCACATTCTCCTCCAGGTTGAACTCCTCGCTTGACACGGGGGAGCTGACCTTGGACTTGCTGAAGTCCTTGAAGCTGCTGGAACGCTGTAGGGAAAGCTGGGAGCAGGGGCAGAGGTGTGAGAGGGGAGAGGGAGAGGTGGCAGATGGGCTTCTTCCTTCATCCCCTGCCCCAGCTCCCCTCCGCCCTTTGGGCAGCTCTGCCCATCCCAGGGTGATGCCAGGGCTGGGAAGAGTTTTTTGCTGTCTTCCAGGAGCTGCCATGAGCCATGAACTCTCCAGAACTGGGATGTGGAGCTCTTGGTGCCTGTGCAGCTGCTTGGCACAGCATTCCCAGGGCAGGGACGCTCTGGTGTAGAGCCTGGCAGTGCCGTGCTGGGAGCAGCCCAGGGCTGTGCCGTGATGCCACCCTGGCATGTGGGGGGACACAGGGCTCTGCAGTGCTGCAGCTCCTCTCAGCACAGGGCAGGCAGCACCAGCAGCTGCAGGACTGAAGGTTCTCCGTGTTTTCCGCCTGTGAGCGTCACCCCACAGCCCAGAGAGCACACCCCCAGCATCACCAGCTGGCTTGGTGCCACCTCCATGCCTAAACCATTAAAGCTGGTTCTGGATCTCAGTCCTGGTGCACCTCTCTGTCCCTGCCCTGTTGAGTCTTTCCTGTGCCCCCTGCCTGCCTTCCTTCCTCTGCATGGCCTCAGGTGCCTGTCTCACCTGGAAGGGTCCTCCCTGCCGGGAATGTCCTTGGTGCCAGCACAGCCCCATGTCCCAGGTGTCCCTAAGCCCGGATGGCAGCACAGCCCCATGTCCCAGGTGTCCCTAACCTGGGATGGCAGCACAGCCCCATGTCCCAGGTGTCCCTAAGCCCGGATGGCAGCACCAGCTCACACACTGGGGCACGGTGAGCTCGGCTGCCACCGGCAGCACTCTTGAGGCCCTCGGAGCACACAGCACTTGTTCTGCCACGGCCACAAACAGGCATTTCCGTTCTCAAGCAGCTCCTGTGGTGGCTGAGGCCCTTCCCAGCCCTGCACAGCCCAGCTCGGTGCTGTCCCCTCTTTATTCTCCTCCTCACAGCATCCCTGAGCACTCTGTTTCGCCTTTCCCTGCAGAGGGCTGGCTCTCGGTGCAGCACGCAGCTGCACACCCGCTGTGGCTTTATGCCAGCTCCAGGTGCAGCTGTGCAGAGGGGATGCTGGCTTTTGCCCTGCTCCCACCCCAGTGCCCTGAATCCACCAGCTCTGGGTCCACTGAACCCCGCAGGGCTTCCCTGCTGAGATAAAACAGCTCTGAGATGGAACTGCCCGGGCTGGAGGAGCCAGGGAGAGGCTGGCAGTGGGATGTGAGTCAGGGGGGCCGGGCTCTCCGGAGCAGGGCAGGAGGGGGAAGTGAGAGTGGCTGTGGCTGGGCGAGGGCAGGGGATGCCCACTGGGACCGGCCGGGCCGGATGGGCCACCCGCGTCCAGGACTTCACCCAGATTTGCTGCGGGATGCTGGCAGCAGGGAGGAGCTGCCATGGCAGGATGTGTGCCCATCACGGGCAGGACGCTGCCACCGGGCACTGTCCCTGCTCCCCGAGGTGACCGCTGGTGCTGATGCCAGCCCAGCAAAGCTTGGCCAGAGCCGAAGTGCGAGACCCGGCGGGGAACGAGGAGCCGGTTTTGGCCCCCACTGGTGACTTCAGCCTCCAGGCTTGAGCCCCAGGGCGGCACACGGCCGTGCC